TGTGAATTATTTCCGTCATAATCCCAAGAATTCAAGTAAAAAACATATTTCTTCATGTTGTCTACACTGAAATGAATCATGGGATATGTAGTTTCCGATGTTTATAAGCTGTTGCTACAATAAAACCATGTATTTAAGCAAAGGAACTTGTAACTCCATATATTGTGACAGCCCACGATATTATTGTGAGACTTTTGACGATACGACATCACGATATTTCAGTTATTGTTACATCCCTAGTAACAACAGCTAAAACACATCGAGAACTACATATCCCATGATTCATTTCAGTGCAAACAACATGAAGAAATGTGTTTTTTACTTTAATTCTTGGGATTATGACAGTAATAATTCACACCAAAATCTTGTCAAGGTATTTAAAAGGCAAAAAGTATCCTGTCTACAATTTTATTAACCACTCCAAAATATCACAATAAATATCGTACAGTGAAATTACTTTGAGATTTGGATATCGTTACATCCCTAATGTTTACAATAAAACAATCCCTTGAAAAAAATACGCATTCTACTATAAGAGGGTCCACCACTCCACAAACCTGACCTGTAAATTGGCTTGGTGCTCGTCTTTATGGAAGTTTAATATCGCACTGTGAAAAAAATTCCACGCAGAGTAACAACGTGGTGACGGACACGCCACCCGGAAAGTTACACAGTGCACCTTTAAGTACAATTCATTTGAAAAGAAATATTGGCACAAAATAAGTGATTGGCGATGACGAGCGGCTCCACTGTCCAGAGCTGCACTCAGCGTTTTAGTTTTCGACGTCTCGAGCCAATTTCATATATTGAGCTGCTTATATTTTTTGCTGGCTCCACGATGAATCAAACTGAAATGAACATCTTTGTAACTGTCAAACTGCACAGGACGCAACTATTCTGGTATTAGTTTAATGTTTAAAAAGGTGCGTTGTGTGACTTTTCCGGTGGAAGGTCCGTCAAGCGTCAGATCTGTGGAGAGGCGACCCCGCTCACAGTCAGAATGCCTGTTTTTCTAGGTATTTTTGAGCTTTAAATCCACCTGTAATTGAATAAATGTAATGTAAAGATGTTTAATGTCATACTGTGGAACCTTCCAGGCAGAGCAATGACATATTTATAGAAACAAGCAGGTGACAAACCCTCCAGAAAAGTTACACAAACTCTACAAACATGCTCCAAAATGGAAATCAGCTGGAAAGTCGCTGTGAATTGTACCCTTTATGAAAGTTAAGTTAATCTATATACATATAAATAATAGGGATGGAACAGTAACCAAACTATCGTGCTATCGTATTGTCAAAGTTCTCAAAATAATATCAGGGACCATCACAATATATCGAATTACAAGTCTCTTTGCTTAAATGAAGAGTTTTGGTGCAGCAAAAGACAGAGAACTACATAGACCATGATCCTTTGCTCCATTTCAGTGCAGACTAAAAGAAGAAATAACAATTCTAACACTTTTAAGTCTAGTTGTTTGGATTAAGTCTTGTCAAGAAAAAGTAGCATATTAGGTTTTTTTAGTATCCACAAAATATTCGCAATCAATATCGTACTGTGAGATGTGTATCGTGAAAATATCGTACAGAGAGATTTGGATATTGTTACATGTCTAATCGTGAGCCTCTCCACCACAATGTGAGCTTTCCCACGATATTGCAATAAATATTGTACCGTGAAGTTCATACATTGACGATATCGTATCATGAGACTTGGATATCATTACACCCTTAGTATTTTTTCATGCTGTACACACTATACTGCAAAGTAACTCTGTCAGAGTTAAGTCTGTCAAGTCTGTCAAACTGTTTTATTGTGTAAGTGTCGCCGCACGATCCTGATCAACACTAAACAGGAAATCCAAAGCTCTTCTAGATCATTTCAAACAAACACACGATGACTGGAGCTTGATGAGATGTTCTTATCATGGATGGAAGTCTGGAGAAAATCTAAAGAAAATGGTGATCATGTCAGCCCTTTGGCTTTGCATAACTGCCTTATGTTTTATTTCATGATACAAAGGATACAAAGGTCAGGTCCATTTTGAGCTCAATTTTTCACATACAAATATTTCTTCATTATAGCAACTAGTAGTCAAATTTTGAGAGCCATGCCTATTATATGGACAAAACAGAAACTTTGAAGTCATTTTTCTCAGTTTCTCACTCTGGAGAGTTCAGGTCTTTTGCCTTTCTAGGGCAGTATTACCACATGACATCACAAGGTGGAACTGTATTTTCAGTTGGATATTGTTACACCCCTAATAAATAATTTAGTTTCATGTCGAGCATAAAGAGTATTCTGATTTGGGAAGGATGAGCAACTTGTTTTTATCCCCTGTTGCATGACAGAGCATGAGGTGATTATGTTCATGACAGCAGATGTTGTAGGACATGAGGAGCAAGAAAAAATATGTAAAACTCCATTTCAATTTTCTGCGAGTAAATGACGATTATATTGATATTACAGACTGAAAAAGCCAGAGAGAAGAGGGCGTCGGGAAGGAGGAGGGAGTCGTTCCCACCGAGAGAATGGGACGCTCCAGCCGATATTCTCCAAAACGCAAGAGATTTTGTTTTAGTATTTAAGGTGGACTGATATTAAAATCGCAATCTACTCAGTCACAGAACATACAGTATAAGGAAACTGTGCAGCCTTTATTTGCAATGTAGTTTGTAGTTTCCTGTTTAGAGGCGACATTTTGAGGACTTTTGGTCATTCAAAAAGATATTCTTTTTAAAGTTAAATGCTGTTGTGTTAATTTTCTATTATTCTGAAACCAGAGAACAGTTGGCATTTAAAACTACTGAACAAAAAGACTTACTTTAACCCTTACATACTGTTCATTTCTTAAGCTTTCACAGTATCGTCCAGGTCAAATTTGACCCGGACCAAGAATTCCCTTACAGTAAGTGTCTATACCAAATAAACAGACTGTTCCACATGAATAAATATGTGTAATATATAAATATAATGTTTGAGAGAGCAGGAAGAGCATATTTTTGTAAGTTTTACAACACTCGTTTTTTGAGAAAAACATCTGTTATCACACAGTACCGTGTCCTGTTTTACAAAACAAATAAAAACATAAAAGCCAAAATGATGGTGATATTTATTGTGTTTGAAACTGACATGAATATTCTGGAACTGTTGGAATTTAAAATATATCCATGTTTATCCACTGCAGCCATTACGCTTATTTCAAACTAGTCAATACATTCAAAGCAGTGGTATATAAAAGTATAACATTTTAAAATATTTTCATTTTTCCTAAATATTTGCCAAAATACACAAAAGTCATCAAATTTCAGGTGTATTTTTACGACAGTTGAATGTCAAAACGGGTCAAAATTAACCCAAATAGTATGTAAGGGTTAAAAAGATGCACTGCTCATTTTTTTCTGGTTGAGTCTCCGCTACTTACTTGTCTCCATGGTGTTGTTACTGCTTTGCCTAGAATGTTCCACGGTATGACTTTAAACATAGATCTCTAGTATTTATTCACGACTTGTGTTTCTATTGCTTAAAACTACAACAAATACTTCTGTAAATAGGGTCGCCTCTCCACAGATCTGAGGTGTAATGTGGTGTAGTGCTGTGATAGATGGGTTTAATCTGTACTGTGGGATACTCTAGACAAAGCAGTAACATCTCCATGGAGACAAGTACGTAGAAAAGACTAGAAATGTTACTCAGTGCGTCTTTAAAGTGAAAATGTTCTATGTTCTTATCAGGGAAAGGGTCAAGAGCTCATCATGTTTATTGGTATGTTTATCTCGACAGGATACGGCGGCCCTATAGACGGGAACTGTCTGAATACTTCTACATCCACAGAGACTTTTTTATTTTATTTTAGTAGCTGCACTGGCACAGAGCTGCACGACGAGGTTGGAGTGGGTGGTTGGATTTAAAGAAAGTTGACAGGCTCTTCGGAGGGGTCCTGGGGCGACACGGAGCCCTGGCAGCTGTGTGCGGCACCGGGTGGAGCCGTGCACAGTGCACAGCCGAGTGACGGGATTTAGGGAGATGGGAGTTTGCAGAAAGGTACAGCCCGGGGCCCTCACACAAGAAAGACATTACAGACAGAAGGAAGAGAAGAAGACGAAGGAGAAGGAGGAAGAGGAGGAGGAAGAGGAGAGAGACGGGGAAACATCTGACCAGAGGGTTGGATCAAACAGAATGAAGGTTCTTGGATTGTTCGTGTAGCATCCATGTTTTATACAGATCTACTTTTACACCAAGGCTCCAGGAAATGTCAAATATAGAGACAAAGTGATACATGGAGCTCACTCAGACAAAGTCAAACTGCAGAGAGGAATCAAGTGTTACAGTCCCTGAGTATGGGTCAAATGTATCCCTTTGGTACATACTACAAATGTCAGTTTAAGAGCAAAATGATAGTTATTACTAGTTATTAATTAAAGCCTTGCACTTGCCTATAGGCTCGCAGGAGTGTGGTTTTGTATACAGTGTGACTAAATGTAGGTCAGCTGTGACAAAGGTGCTCCCAAAATCAGGGTCAGATCATAACAGGCCTGTCAGACTTTAAAGGAGCTGAGCTGTGTTAACCTTTACCATGTTGGCGGAAGGAAAAAGCAGGCCAGTGTGTGAAATGTCTGCGCGCTTTGAAGCATCGTTGGGCATGTCTGTGTCTGCACCAGCACCTGGACACTGCGCACTGATTTGCTGCGCTCACGTTAGCTTTGGAGGCTATCGTGTGGGCTACTTTTGGTGTCGTCAAGTCCATGTTTTGTGTCACCACAAGAGGCCTGAGTCTTATTTAAACTCCAGACGCAAAGAGTAGGTTAGTAAGCCTTTTACAGGACATGTGTCTTAAAGTTTAAAAAGAAAAAAAGACAGCCATCATTAGAAACACATGCTCAACTTTTCCTCTTCTAAAAAAACAGCCCATTTTCAGGCGTGAGCCTGTATGCGCAGCGCGTAAAATGGTTACGCACAAAAAGTCCAAAAAGTAGCTACAGAGAAAGAGAAACACTCACCGATTAATCCGCCGACCATGAAGGCGAACGCCTGGAACAGCAGCAGGATCACTCCTACAATCACCAACTTTTTGGTGCTCATGTTTTCAATGATAGCCCCCGCCATCGCCACGGAAAGCGTTCACAAATGTCACGGAGAACCACAAAACGCAACAATGTGTTAGAAAAAGGACGGAATGAGTGCATCCACGGGGCGAAGGCCGAGCTGGGACCCTGCGCCACCACTTCGCTCTGCTCTGCACTCCGCTCCTGCCTCTCAACTTCGAAGGAGGAGAAAGAGGAGGAAAAAAACAGGAGTCACATGACCGAGCAGCGCAGAGCTTTATCCCGGAGCCGTAGCGCCAGAGCGGGGGCAGATGTGGGGAGCCGTGCGCGCGGCACAGAGCCGTGCACGCGCCAGGGCAGGTTGTAATAGAACCCTCAGTGTCCTCCGGCTATTTTAAGGCCTGTATGTCACCTCATGTGTGCGGCCCGAGCCCTCAGCACATTGTCATCACGGGCTATTCTGGTTTGTGCCGAGTTCTGTTGTTCCCATAACACACGCGCACGCACACACGCGCACGGTGCCAAGTATAGAAAGGGGCAGTTTGTCGAGTTAAAAACTAACGCAGTTTGTTTTGGACATAACACATCTGACACTTCCCGCTTCATCTTGTTTCTACCACTGCCCCTGTGTGCGGACAAAATGATTTTACGCTCTTGTGTCTGATACAGAGGACACAGGCTGAAATCACTCTAGGTCAACTTGTCTTATCCTCAACAGGTTTCTTTCAACACAGTAGGCCGAAGATCTTTTCATTTAAAAGATGTCATTTACATATTGTCCGCTGGATGGCAGCAAGATGCCTCAAGTTTGTGATTTTCAGTGTAGCCCAATACTGAAGCCGACCGAACATAAACCCACAGTCTAAACATGAATAATAATAGGCTACATTGATTTTTTTCCACCTCAGTTTCTTTTTGCTCCTCTCCTGAGAGTCAACAGAGTGACTTCTGTGTGAGCTGCTCTTTCTAATCACTTATTTATGGGTAAAAGGAAATGTAAGTACAGTTTTCATTTTAAATTCCATTAACATTACCTGTGTTTTCACAGTTCAAATCAAAGATTGCTTTTACTGATAACAATTATAATGCAGATTTATTTTTAAAAACATGATGTTGCATTTTTTATGTTATCATTTGGTGTTGGTGTTGATGCTCTCAAGACAAATACACAATATAAAAGCAGAATGAGTCATTCTCTCTGATCTGAACAGTCTCTCTCTAAACCCAGCACCTACAGCAGTCTGTGCTAGTGCAGCCTCTGCAGCTGCAGCATATGCTGTCCATACACTGAGAATGAGAAAAAAAAATGTATGTATGTTCTATCTGCAGGTTAAGGCATTAGCAACACAGTTTCAGTAGTATTTACTTATTTATTTATTTTTTTTTAATGGTAAGAGCACTTGCAGACTAGGCTACATACATTTATTGAATTCAGTTTTAAAAGTTTGAGCTAGAGCTGTGTGAGATTCCACAAATGTCTTTTAGTGGGCCTATCATTTAAAATTAGATTGAATAGTATTTGTTTGCGTAGTTGTTTTTTGTTTGTATTTGTTTTTACAGTGACAGCTGAGCTCCTGGTGACCTCAGGCACAGGACTGCAGGGTCTGACAAAGTTGATGATGCTGCATTTGAATCCATTCTGGGCATTTTTTGCTTTGGTTTTATTTTGCCCTTCTCCCGCAGACCAGACAGTTAATGTGGGAATTGCAGAACTTATGTAGCCCTACTATAGACCTATGATAATGTTATATAAGAACGACCATACAGATAAATAAGTGAACTAACAGAGCGTGATGTTTAACTTCTTTATTTGGTCATTTGAATTTCTAACATATCATATAATTTCATTTGTTTGCTTAACATAAAAAGAGAGTGAAACATGACTACTGAGGATTGTATTGATCCTAATACTCAAGTGTCCTGTCCCAACACTGCAGCCATTCTGTCAGAACATGCTCCACAGGCTTAGAACAGTGGCTATGGATGTCTATGTCCGTTTATACACGTACACATACACATGTGTACATACACATGCTTTACCCGCAGACCACTTCCTTTTTAGGAACTGCAAAACTTGTCTAGACCAGTTCTAGACCAGTAGACTATTAGACGTGGGAATGGTATAACAAGTACACCATAACGACAGAGCTCAGGAAGGACCAAACATCACTCAACAAGAAGATTACAGATGGCAGAGAACTCAAAAGTTGTTTCTTTGCAGCCTTCATCCAGAGAAGGTGAGAGAGCTCAGCTGTTTAATATTCCATATAATTTAAAGAGGGGGATTTACATCTGTGGGGTATTAACCACTAACCACTATCATGAATTTAGATCACCATGGTCTCTTTATTGTTTTAAAAATTCAGAATTTGCTGAAAACAACCTATTAAAATGTTAAACAACTTTCAGTTTCATTTTGAGTCAGAGTCCCCCCTCTGTATGTTCTCCACATTGTGTCACTAACCCTACAACAGGCGTGTATCTCACTAATAAAACTCTGCACATTGTATCAGGTTTGTGAAGTTGTGATGTATTATTTTGTATCCTATTTGTGTATTTATGGAAAATGACTTGGCTTGTGAGCAGGATCATTCTAACTGTAAGGAGGGTTTTAATGAGGAACAACATTTTAACATGGCTCAAACTCCAAAAATAATGCATAAGACCCCCTCTTTAAATGTACCAAAGCAGAAGTATGTAAGTGTGTTTATTTCTCTGATCAGGACCAGAGTCTTCTGAAGGAACTCCACTTCTTCCTGGCTCCACACCTGAGTTTAAAGGTAAGAAACACTTGAAACTGAGCCAGGACTACAATGAAACCAGGACTAAACAAGGACAAAGCCAAGTCTAAATCAGGTCTGAAATAAAAGTAGAATATTTTAAATCTGTAAAGCACCTTGTGAGCTGATCTCTGTGAAAGGTGCTCTATAAATAAATGTTACTTTTTTATCTAGGTCAACCTAACCCCCTATTGACCAGCCACTACTGGTTAGTTTTTAGGAATAAACACCAAAAATTCCATCTAAAATGCAGAGACAATTTACACATACACTTTCTCTGACAGTTTCAACATTAATTTAACTAAATATATCCTAGGTGTTTGTCACAGTTTTTGTCTAATCAGAACTATTGTGTAATTTAAACAAGTTTTGTTCCATTTTTGGCTGCTAAAAAATAGTTATGGAATTACCACTCAGTATGTTATATCTGTTGCAAGTATCCAACCAGGAAGTAAAATTATAAACTTCACTAGAATTTTGTGAAAAAATAGATACTTGCATTTGACAGAGACACAAAAGCAACGTGTAGTGGAAATGTTGCAGCAAAACTGCAACAGTTTGTTGCAGTTAAATTGAATTTCCCTTGAGATTAATAAAGTATTTCTCTCTGTGTTAAACTTGTCATATGCACTTTAAAGCATTTTAAATATATAAGCTTTTTTTTTTTTTTTTGTATATGGATGGCCCTTTCATTATTGATGGGTCAAATGCTGAGGACAAATTTCTCTAAGGGGACAATAAAGTGTACATTACCTTCCCAACACCATGTTCACATACAGTATTGTCTGATATCTGTAGGGATGCCAAAAGGTGTTTTCTGTGAGTGCTTGAATAGTTTGTTATAAAACATGTTTTCCTCTTGTGCAGGATGCTGTGCCAACTGCTGTAAGACTTTCAGTGCCTGGTGCTATAAGACTTTTTGTGAATGCCCGCCCACCCTCGCCAAGTACGAAAGTAACAACCCATATGACACAGACATTGATTTCATGTATCATGATCACCATCAAGATCACCATCAAGATCACCATCAAGATCACGGTCATGATCATGATCACGATTATGATCATGATCACGGTTATGATCACGATTACGATCATGATTATGATTAGTGTGAAAGAATTTCTGTGTTATTTTAAATATTATGAATCATTTAAAATCATAATCATTTGTGTGTATGATTAAAGTTATCAACAATTGCGTTTTTGGGTTTTTCCATATGTATATCATATGTCCTAGTACAAGAACTGCTGACTCATTAAGCTAATCTACTGAGTCGCCCATGAGAAGACAGCTAAGGGTTTTTTTCCCTCATGTGGTTAGCATAAGTTTTTGGGAGAAAACTGGCCAAATTGTTTATCACCTGGAGCCTGTAATCAAGTGTGAAATGGGAGGGCGGTTTAGACTAAAAGATTGTTAGTATGTGATCATGTAAACACTGTGTGATATGATGTCATGTATTGTACCTTATCTGTGTCATGATTTTGAATAAATGGGTGTTCGGAGAGTTGTGGGGCAGAGTAGGCCAGAGCGTCGCCAGGGGCAGGCAGTCCCCAACTCTCCTTGCGCAAGTATTACTTTTAACTGTCTCGTTTTGGTGTGTCTTATTTAATGTAATTTGATGTCTTAGGGTAAATTCCCTGACAATTAGGATCACCACTTTTAAAAAACATCAAGAAATATATATATATATATATATATATATATATATATATATATATATATATATATATAGATATAGATATAGTCATATTTAGTCATATTTAGCGCGTTATGTTTTTTAATCGCGTTAATCTAGTTTTTAATCTCTAACTTTACTGTTTCTGTATGCGAGTTGCTTTATTATAAAATCTGTTTTTATGTGTTGTTGGGACAACACAACACACACACAAAAAACACATTTATAATTTTTTTTATTTCAGTAATTCCACTCATTGCCGGAAACCCACAAAAAACGCGTGCAGTAAGAGCGATGTAAACGTCATGTTCACGTTGGCGGTGTCAGTCACACGATGGACGAGGTCGAAGAGCCAGTAGAACAGAGCAGCAGGGCACAGGGAAAAACACATTTGTGTCTTGGAAATTCTTCTCCCGACGTGAAATATAAAAGAAAATAACAAATATAAAATCGCCTACAACTTAAATGTTACTGGTGAAAACAACCTGCATAGACTCATGATGTCTGCACTACTGTCCTATAGTGACCTGCCACATGAGGGGACACGCACACAAACACACACAAACACACACAAACACACACAAACACACACAAACACACGCACACAAACACACACAAACACACACCTTCATCTTCGTCATTAACCTAAGAACGCACGGACCACGTTTCTTTCCGTAGTTACTGTGCGGACACCGACGTCCTCCCGTGCGCAACGTATGTTTTCTCGCGTACGCTGCGTAAACCGCGCTTCCTCCTGTGAGCCTCTAAACCAGAACTAACACCAAGACTAAAACCAGGACTAATCCAGTCCAGAACTAAACCAGGACTAAACCAGAACTAAAACCAGGTCTAAACCAGGACTAAACCAGGACTAAAACAAGGACTGAAACCAGTGATCTCATATAT